TCCACATCTGTGTGGACTTACACCCAATTTTGTGAAGAATTCAAAAGCTGCATGCATTCTTCTCTTAGCTGTTTCCATTGAGTTTTTTCCATCGTCCCAAGGCCTCTTCAGTGTGGGAAATCCAAAGGGATCAGCCCCTGAAAGCCATAAGAAATTCCTTTTCCTTGAGGAAGCCAAAGTGAGCACAATAATCTATGAAACTGTATATATTACCTATATATGCAGTACTGTGACTATATAAACACATATTTCAAAAACACTGATTAATCAGGAAAAGAAGAATAGCTTTTCAGGCTGTGAGGGTAATGGCAGCTTCAGGCAAGATGGCAGCTCTGACCTGAACTACATTCCCCAGAATGCTGTGAGGTCCTGCTGCCTTCAGTCACCTGAAGACTGCTGGTCAGATCATGGTTGAAAGACCAGGGAGCCAAGGCCTCCAGGAGAAGAGAGGAAACAGAAAGCAAACCCTCTGTGGAACTGACTCTGTGTTTTTGGCAAATGTCTCAAAAAAGAGGCTAAGGTTTTGAGAGTAATTGTAACTAGAGTTATACTAGAGGGGCGTTGAAGAAACTGAGATATGATTCTGAAGTTTTTGTTTTGTTTTATTTTATTTTGCTTGTGAGGTTTTAGTTCTCCCTCACCACTGTAACTTTAAAAAGCACTAGTTTAGTACCTTACATCTGCATTTGTGTCTGCCTTCCAGGGACGGGACCCAGCTATTAAAATATCACTTGCTACTCTAACTCTAAACCCCCAGGTGTGTCAAGATAATATCAATACTTGCCTTGTCTTGCTCTCAAAACTGCACGACTCTAGTAGCCTATTCTCATATCCAACACACCAAACCAACACCTGTGTTAGGGACAGGAGGGTCACTTGGTGCAGTGGAAGACGGATTTCACTATCTGCATTCCTTCCTTGACAGAGTTGTGTAGAGAAATCACAGCAACGGTCAGTGAAATAAGTTTTAATTTGTGACAAACAAAATGCCACAGAGAAGGCGCACAAGGTTTATAACCCACAATTCCTCCTCTAAGCAGTGTCAAGAGAGAGTTTTCTAGTCCAAGCATAGCCATCGT